ACCAAATCTAACTTAATAGTCAACAACTCAATTGACCCAAATCTACACTTAATCAACCCACCTCAATTGACCAATTACACTTTAATCAACCACCTCAATTGACCCAATTCGTACACTTAATCAACAACCTCAATTGACCAAATCTACACTTCATCAACACCTCAATTGACCAATTTCTACGACTTGATCAAACCACCTTCAATTTGACCAACTAACTAATCAACAACCTCAATTGACCAAAATCTACACTTAAATCAAACCACCTCAATTGAACCAAATTCTACACTTATCAACCACCTCAATTGACCAAATCTACACCTTGATCAACCACGCTCAATTTGACCAATTCTACACTTAATATAACCACCTCAATTGACCAATTCTACACTTAATCAACCACCTGTCAAATGACCAATTCTACACTAATTCAACAACCTCAATTGACCAATCTAACTATCACAACCACCTCAATTGACCAAATCTACACTTCATCAACCACCTCAATTGACCAATGCTTTACACCTTAATCAACACCTCCAATTGACCAATCTACACTATAATCAACCACCTCAAATGACCAATCTACACATTACACTTCTCAACCACACTCAATTGGCCAAATCTAACACTTCATCAACCACCTCAATTGACCAAATTCTACATAACAACCACCTCAATTGAGCCAATCTACACCTGGCCACTGATCAACCACCTCAATGGGACCAATTCTTACCTTAATCAACCACCTCAATTGACCAAATCTAACACTTCATCAACACCTCAGATTGACCAAATCTACACTTATCAACCGACCCTCAAATGTGCCAAATCTACACTTGATAACACCTTCAATTGACCAAATTCTTACACTAAGCAGACCAACCTTCAATTGACCGAAAGTCACACTGATCAACCACCCTGCAGATGACCAATTCTAACTTCCATCAACCACCCTTGCAATTGGACCAATCTACACTTGATCAACGCGACTGACAATTGACCAAATACTTACACTTCTTTTGTTATCAAACCACCTCAATTAAACCAATTCTAACTTGAATAAACCCATCATGCTGTTACTGAAACCTGTGAAAATCAATATAGTGAAATACATTGACTACTCTTTTACCTGAAACAACCACGCACACGCACACGCACACGCACACGCACACACACACACACACACACACACACACACACACAC